CCTAACCGCTAACCTCAAACCAAGTCTTCACCCTCATTTTTTATGCTTTACATTTACATTTTATGGGGTCTCACTTTCCATTTGGGGTCTCCACACTTTTGCACACACTAACTGGGGTCAAAGAACAAAAATTGATAGAAAAAAAAAAAAAATAATCTAAATTTGTCCAGTCTAAACCTTGAGTTAAAATAAGATACTGCAATACTCTTAAATACGTAATATATAACTAAAACAAATGCAAAATTAACTTTGAGTTCACCATATATTTCAGTATAGGTGAAATGATAAATGTAATTTTAAACCTTTAAGATCACACCCTCGGTTATATTGTATCACTATTTCACAATGTATGCCAAAATATTTACAAAAATTCAATTTCTTTGTATTTTTGTATCAAAATCTGATAATTTCTTTTTTCCCGTAAAACAAAAAATTGCCAATTTTTCAGTCCTGGTCTCGGTTCAGCGAGTCAGCTAATAATAATAATTAATAATAATAGTAATACCGCTACAGCTGCTCGACTAGGGGGACGTAACACACAGCGCTATTGGATACCACGACAATTAGCCTAGCTGCATGTTTTTAAAGGAAAAAGCACTCTGATTTTGATTTCACCTGGACTTAAATGGTATAAAAACCCACAATAAACAGATAAACAAGTGACAGTCTGTTTCATAATGGTTATAAATGGGGGGTAAAATATGGGCTTTTTTTTTGTTGCAGTACCATGAGTGGCCACTGGGACAAATTGGCATCATTTGGTGTGAGACAGCATGCTTACGTGCGAGTATACATATCCAATTCCTAATAACCTCCACACACACACACACACAGCCTCAATTTCCTGTTGCGTCTCCCGGGTCATGAGAGCATGGGAGAGAGAAAACACTGACGATCACTGCATGTGTTTGTGTGTTTTGTGACCGTAACATGTGCGTGTATGTACATTTTATTTGTTTTATTTTAGTTTTTTGTGCTTTAAGTTAGTTTAATTTTATTTTTTTGATGTGTGTGTGTGTGTGTGTGTGTGTGTGTTAATTAATGAAACTGTCCTCCACAGAGAGTGAGAGAGACTCCCTCAGGAAGCCGCTGTGGGGGAACGGACTCTAATTTTTAATGAATAGCCAGGTCTGTGCTTGTTTCTGTGCGTGTCACGACTTCCTTCAGCTTCCCTCTGCCTTTTTTCATTAATGAGAGCTATGATTTCATTTTAGCATTTTAAAGAAAAAGTCCTTCATGGTATGAAAATCAACTTGTATTTCATCATAATATATGTCGCATATATCTTTAAAGGAAATACATGTTTTAATATATGTATCTGGAAAATAGAATTGCTTTTTTTTCAGTAGTTTTCATTCCAGATACATAATATTTGTGTATTCTTCCTCTACATTTAGCTTATTTTCTTGTGAAGTACTACTTTTTCCAGCCTCTAAAAACCCCTCAAAAGCAAGTTGAAGTCGGTTTTCATACCACACTGATTGGAAATTTGCTTTTTAATGTGCTTATGTGTCAGTTTTAATCAGTTAAATGCACTATAACTCCTTGGAAACTAACCTTACTTACTTACTTAAGGTGCTACAGAGGAATGATACGGCAGGAGGGAGTGTGTCGAGTGAGAAGAAGAGGAAGAAGAAGCCCTCCAGGTGTTCTTCAGGTCCACAGTGTTGTCATCAGGAACCCAACCAAATCTCAAATGGGAAAACAGCAGCACCGGTGGAGCCAATCTACCATCCCAGCGTCCCCCTGTAAGGACTTTAATGGGTTCTGGTTTTGACTGACTGTGGAGGCCTTGTTGTGTCGACCGGCTGCTTTCAGACTTTTTTGTGCTTTTTGTGGAAACAGATGTCAAACGTGGACTCGTGGCATGCTGCATGTTGTGTAGCTGCTTAATGAAGTGCCAGCAGCAGGTGTTACAGTGAATGCCTATCAGCTGATTAGCACAAAATTGGCTGATTGAGAGGCTGAAGCAGTGTTGTATCTCTCCTTGCTGAGAGGGGGGGTATTAATTTAAGGTCTGAAAAAGGGTGAATATTAAACAGGACTACGTGTAAAATACATTAAAATGGTAAATCCGGTGATATTCAGTCAACAAATCCCATAAAAATACCAAAACCAACAATACATTGATGCAACTAATATGCATTAATCCAAAGCACAACACACACTGTTGTTTATTTTGTCCTCCTGCCCCAAATACTCACTAAACACCAAATATGGATTAATCCGCCGCTTAGCAAATTCTCTCTCGCTCTTTTTTGAGTATTATTTGCTAAAGACTACAATGTCCAGCTGTTTTAGGAAACTCCAGACATTTTTCTTTATTAAATCATATATTTTTTACCCTTTTTTTTTTAAAGATTTACATCTTCAGTAGAACCAGTGAGCTTGGGGTTGAGTGCTACAGACAGAGCAGGGTACATCCCTGAGAGTCCTCGAGAGACAGATCATTGTTTTGTTGCTGGTTTTGGTCTTTTAATATGATTTGCTGACAATAAAAATAAGGATTATAGCCAACCTTCTGCTTTAAACTCTCATTTAGGTCAACTGTCACTCAAGCAAAAGCAACCGCAAGATGTCTAAAGATCAATTTTACCAAGCTACATCATACATTTTGCTTTATTTATTTCTTCTTAAAACAGCTTTACAGTATAAAAGTAATAAAGGCAGGAACTCACCTGTAGTTTGGTTTTCGCTTGTAATGAAAAACCTGCAGACTCTCGGCCCCTCCAGGACCGCACAGTAAGTGGCTCCTGCTGCGAGATGACGTCAAGTGAATCTTTGTTGTCTCCTGAGGGCGTTTACATGGATGAAAAATGAAAGCTGCAGTGTATGTAACCGAGTGTACTGTCATTTAACCTTTGAGCTCAAGGTTCCTTAGAACCTAAACGTAAAGCCGTTCACATGCATGTAGGCTGCCTGATATAAGTGGAGGAAGAGGGGTCAAAACTCAGGTGGACGTACTGCGGTGGGTTGGATTGTGCTGACTGCTGCTGGTCAGGAGTTGCTGGATTTGTAAATTAAAGTATCCAGAGAGGAAGTTGCCAAAATCAATACACAATGTTGACAGTTGCCTTTATCTAAGTGCACAAAAAGGCCAACATTTGCCACATCTAAGCTTTTGACGCCGGCTCGGATGTTTCTTAATTTTTTTTTCTTTAATAGTTTGTGAGTAATAGTCAGTTTAAATTCCGCCAAAAAAGCCATAATCTCTAGTTTAACTCAAAAACCTTCAGGTTGTAGCAAAGCAATTATCAAGACACGATTGATTCACACCGATCCTCGTCTGCTGCTAATTAACAATCACTTGAGTTATTGTATGAAAAATACCGGATAAATGAAGCACAGGGAATCTCTGCACAACACTTGATTCCACTGTCTCCACACGGATGTATTTTTTGGACTATCATATTATATGAGTGAAAAATGGAGGAAGGAAAATATGAAAATTAAGTGGTTTATGACTTTTAATGGAACAATATCTTAATTGAGGTTAAAGAAAGTTGATTTTGTTTGTAAGAATAATGTAATCAAACTTGCTTTAAAACCAAAATGAACCAGTCTTTCATAAGTTGTGTGTGAATTAAAAGAGTAATCCACCAATTTAAGCATTAATCCTATAACATTGTTGGATAATGTACAGTTAAAATAAATAAAAGATCCAAATCAATCGCAGCAGAACCAGAGACGTCTTCTCTTTTATTCTTTTTCCTTGTCGCCTACATTACTCACAGTGCAACTCGACATTCACTCAAAATGATTCAGACAATTCACTTTAAGTAAATGATGTGCTGTTTGCTGTTTTGTGTTGCCTAAGTAATTATTTCCTCAGGTGGTTTCATAGTGTCTGTAAATATCTTTGTTTTTTGTGTCTTTACGTTTGTTTTTTAGTAAAATCTATTTCTCTGAATGCTGCTGTGATGTTTTGTTTGTCACAAATAGGCAAAATTAGGTTTGATTAGATTTGTTTGAACTAATTAGAAGAAAAAATAATGAAATCAAATACTAGTGGGAGAAGATTAAGATCATATTAAACAAAATAATTTGAGTTTTGGAGACTTAATTAGATAGCCAATATTGGCAGATCCGATGTACTGTATTTGTACTGGCACATATGTCGGCTGATCAATAACAAGAAGCTGCTGTACAGAAATGATCAGAGATATATGTTATTTTTCAACTGTAAAATATCCACTTACATATCGTGGTAAATACTAGTATTAACAAAATTAAAGAATCTTTATTAAAAAAAAATATCTAATGTTTACATTTATAGTTAAAATTGAATGTGGGTCAATATATTGGTAACCCAAAACAGCTGGAGCTTTAAAGTATCGCAGAGATGTACTCTACTCTACTTACTGAAAAGAAATAGATATTTTTTCACAGATCTGAATGTGTGTTTGCGTTTATGGAGTCTCATGAATATTTTACATCATTTGAAATGTACAGAATAATAATATTATCCTAAATAAGTGCTATTGGTGAATATCCGCTCACAAGGCTGAATAGTTTAGTCCTTTGGGCTTTTTTGGAGGATTGTTGCAGCCCTAAAATGTCTGAATTCACAGCAGCCTTTCTAAAATATTTGATATTTTTGGCAATAAAAATGTGTGAGAAAGAGAAAATTCCAATTATAATATCCTTTTTTGATATAATCCAGTTAAAAATTAAAGGCAACTTGTTCCAGTGCGAGTAAAATAGCTTCTGTGTTAGTATTTTGGTGATGTATGGCTCAACGTTCACAGGGATTAGTCGCAACATTGCAGCTTCCTGGAGGGACTGAAAGAGGTTTTTTATTAGTATAAAGTCAAACTAATCATTGATCTTCACTGTAAAGGGTAAAAAAAACAATGTTGCATCTGATTAGCACAAAATTGGCTGATTGAGAGGCTGAAGCAGTGCTGTAGCTCTCCTTGCTGAGAGGGGGGGGATTAATTTAAGGTCTGAAAAAGGGTGAATATTAAACAGGACTACGTGTAAAATACATTAAAATGGTAAATCCGGTGATATTCAGTCAACAAATCCCATATTTTGGTGATGTATGGCTCTACGTTCACAAGGATTAGTCGCAACATTGCAGCTTCCCGGAGGGACTGAAAGAGGTTTTTTATTAGTATAAAGTCAAACTAATCATTGATCTTCACTGTAAAGGGTAAAAAAAAAAACAATGTTCAGTTGAAATAAAACATTTTTTATTTGAAACAAAAGTTCTGCTTCGATACAAAAATCCTTGACAAAACCTTGATCCACTTTTACAATGAAGAAGCAGAACAAACCACAAACTGCCAACAAAGAGGGAGAGTCAGCCGTTAAGTGCACAGGTGCATTGGTACATGTAAGCCACGGGTGAACTTAAAGTGCATTGGAATGAACTGTGTGTGTGTGTGTGTGTGTGTTGCTTTACGTAGTTAAGTGAGGTTTGTGTGGTTTAGAGGTTCGACTGAAGCTTGTAAAGACACGAGGTGTTATAGAAGCTCATTATGTGTTTAACACGTATATAAACCAACAATCTTGCAGCGTATAGGTGAGGTAACAATGTATTCACACCGTGTGCAGTTCATTTTACCTTCTACTGAGACGATCAACCAAAGACATTAAATCTATGGCTCAACAGGTAATGTTAGGTAAAGAAAAAGTGTTTAGTTTAAGAGTTAATTATTATTTTCCATGTGCTCGTGTTTCCATGGAGCTGTTTTCATTCAGGTGGTCTTTGCTTGATGGTAAATACTGGGAAACACAACAGAGAAGTGGAAATTAAATGAACATATTTACCATTTCTGTGTAGATAAATACTACTAGTAAATACTGCACCTTCATTCAACTTCCTCTTCGCTCTCGTGGGTTTTATAAAAAGACTTTAGCGGCCAATATGGGATCATTAACAGGTCCAGGCTTCAACTTCTGTTCTGGTTTTTGACAGTTCACTTCATGTGACATATTTACCTGTAAAGATGTTTCATAACTCCTAAACTTGGGTTTAAACTTGACTACCTTGTTGGTAAACGAGGTAAACTCAGAATTTACAACTGTACGAGTTGTCAAGGAGCGCGTGAACACAGAAAACAACAACAGGGGTGATCCTTGGATTTCTCTGTAGGCATCTGATGCCTCGAAGATTTTACTTTGGACCCTGATGGAAGCTCATAAAATATTCTAATCAAGCTAATCAGATCTTTCCCAAGAGACCAAACAGTTAATGCAGCATTAACATCCTAACTATGGTTGTGTTTACTCATGAAAACACGGTAATGTACAAAGCTGCAGATTCAACCTGAACGTCTGGAAGAACAGAGACTTTGTGCCCATTTGTATTGCGAGGACATTAATTATTGGCCTGTCCACAACCTTTAACCTTCAGTCTCGCTTTCTGATCACTTCCTCTCCCGACGCCAGCTTCCTGTACAACTGCGACAATTCATCAGGTCGAGGCGTTTTCGACTCCGGCGTGCAGGGAATATCGTAATCCGACGACACCTGAGACTCCGACAGCTCCTTCTGGTCGTTGCTCTCCTCCTGAGACACAGTACTGGTCCTCAACTCTCCTTGTTCCCGCCTCCCCTGCTCTGGTTGGAGAATCAAGGTGTCAGGTAAACACGAGTCCAGGTTCTGGGAGGAATGATTTGACAGAGAGGCAGACAGGGCGAGACTGAAGTTTTCGTCGTTGTCGGGGGTTTCTCCTTCGTCGCTGAACAGCTCGGGGGTCTGTGAACCTGTCAGTCTGGAAGGGGCGGGGCTTGGGACAGAGCAGCAGGATTGTAATTGGCTGTTGAGGCTGTTCTGGCTGTCTGTCAGCGTGTCTGTGGTGAAGAAATCCTCCCATTTTGGAGGATTAGGGGAACCCGGTACCTCAGCATCCTTTTTCTCAGGTTCTTTATTCCTCTCGCTTTCCTTTATCGCCCCGGTCTCCTCCTCCTCCTCCTTCGTCAGCTTTTTATCCCCATTTTCCTCGCTCCCTTCCTCCTGCTGATCCTCATCTTCCTCTTCATCATTGGACTCAGTGCAGTCCACGTAGTTGCGTGCGACAGGCTGCGCGTCTGTGACCGTGAGAGGTAAAGACTCCTCCACGGGCACAGGGGGCGCTGTTTTCTGAGGACTCTCAGTGTTCACTAAGTTAAAAGAAAATGAACAGTTTAGTAAAAAAAATTTAATAATTAAAAGCAAATAAATGAAGAGAAGTTAGAATATTTATGCACCGTTGTTTAGTTCTTGGTTCAGCCCCATCTTCTTCCTCACTGGTTCCAGGTCGAGCCCGTCAAACAGCTCGTCATCACTGTCTGAATCTGAGCAGAGAAAAGGAGACAGTTAATACTTTAATTAAATTAAACTACCCATCCTTAAACACTACGAGCAGTGGGCAGATACTGTCCAGTGCCCGGGGACCAGGTCTAGATCTCAGCCAGTGTTTTGCTCGAGGGCACCGACAGGAGAAACACCCATGTTTTGATGCTGGTGGGGGGGGAACCCCAAGCACACGAGGAGAACATGCAAACACACAGAAACTCACCCAGGACCTTCTTGCTGTGAGGCGACAGCGCTAACAACTGAACCACCATGCTGACATGCTAACAAGTGATTAAGCTTTTGTTAATTTACAAAGCTGATACTGATTATTAAATATCTTCCTCTAAAATATCAACTGAATAACTACCTTAAAATCTTAAATATACTCCTGATCTGAATTCATTTCACCTTTAAGTTGTATGTATCTGGTTTAAGGCAATTAAAGATCGACACAAAATACCAGAAAATGCAATTCAACTAATGAAACGAGTTCTTGGTATTCCCTGTTCACTTACATTGTTGTTGTCTTGTTGGAAAGTGCTGAAAAGGTAACACACTATATTAAATCAAAATGAAAAATATGATTTTAAAAAGTGTCCAAATACAGTTTGATGTTTGTGTGTAGCATTGTAATATATTGTAATCATTTTTGTGGTATTAATTTCCCTTTATGTAATTCAAAAAGCTATAGGAAGTAGCTATTGTAGTTATTGTAATTGTGGACACCATAAATGTTATATTTTCAAAATGTATTGTTATGGATTCAAATGAAAAAACACTCAAACAATCAGGTATGTACAAGATGATTACAACATGTAATCAAAACGGGTTGAAAAATTCTCTCAAACCAGTCAGAAAACAGACGTACGGATTATACAAACCTGGTGTAGCAGGCAAAGTTAGTTCTAAAAACAGAGTTTCAAAAACAGAAACACCAGAACGGCCTTCTGCAGCTTCGTTAACTTCCATGCAACAGCTTATCAAACCGACGACGGCCGGACAACTATTGACCTACTGTAGAGTACAGAGCTATCCATCACCTGGGCCGGATCCTCATCGAGGGCTTGAAAAGCAGAGGAGGCCTCTTCAGCTGTGTCTCCTGGCTTGTCTGTTTGGAGATCGGGGCTTGTTCATCTCTAACCTAGATCCCTGTTTGTCCGTGTGTACGTGAAGAGGTTGTGGACTGTTTTAGGGCTGCAACTAACAACTCATTTCTGTCGATTTTCCTCATTAAACGATCAGCCGTTTGGTCCATAAAATGTCAGAAAAGAGTGAAAAACGTTGATCACTGCTTCCAAAAGCCCAAGGTGACGTCCTCAAATGTCTTGTTTTGTCCACAACTAAAAGATATTCAGTTTACTGTCAGAGAGGACTAAAAAAAACAGAAAATATTCATATTTGAGAGGCTGA